GATAATTCGATTTCCGAGCTGTTACATACGAAAATCTAAGCTCTCCACCCAAATCAGTCATAACATGAGGGAAGAATACGTGAATACCTGGAAAGCTGCCAAGGCCTCCTCGCCAAAACTAGAATTCTATAACTTAATTAAACATGATTTCGAACCAGAGGCATATCTACAAATTATCAAAATACCTGATGTTCGAAAAAGTCTAACAAGGTTTTGTATCAGCTGCCACAACCTCTACATCGAAAGGGGCAGATACGAAACCCCCCTTGTACCAAGAGAAGAATGTTGGTGCACCTACTGCTTTTTCAGCAAAGGGCTCAAGCCTATTGAGGATGAAAGTCACGTATTGATGGGATTGATTGACTGTTTGCTCTACTCCTCAGTTAGGGAAAAATTCAATTTCCATCCCCAAAACATTACTGACCTAGCCGGTTTGCTCTCCAACAAAACTCTAGATCCTACCCACACTCACTGCCACAGCAAGAGCAATCCATTCAATTCTCTCTGTGAACGAACAGTATACAGCCTATTATAAGAGCCCAGATTTCCACTCAAATACTGGCAAGTGCATAATGCTATAGGACCTTAAAATAAAACTGAACCATACAAACTCGATTTATTTATTTTTCTAAAACTAGCATTATATAACATTTCTTAATTATCCCTACACATTTGTAAATAATTAGAATTGTGTAACTTAAATTATTTCAGAATTACAACTATTGTGTACTCAATAAAGTAATTATCACTTTTGTATCCTTGTATCCTTGTATCCTTGTATCCTTGTATCCTTGTATCCTTGTATCCTTGTATCCTTGTATCCTTGTATCCTTGTATCCTTGTATCCTTGTATCCTTGTATCCTTGTATCCTTGTATCCTTGTATCCTTGTATCCTTGTATCCTTGTATCCTTGTATCCTTGTATCCTTGTATCCTTGTATCCTTGTATCCTTGTATCCTTGTATCCTTGTATCCTTGTATCCTTGTATCCTTGTATCCTTGTATCCTTGTATCCTTGTATCCTACGAACAATCTGGACATTCAAATGGTTTCTCTCCGGAATGAGTCTTCAGATGATCTTTGAGGTGTGATTTAGAAACTGTCGCATACAAACAATCTGAACATTTAAATGGTTTCTCTCCAGAGTGAATACTATTCATTAATCAATACTTTTTCTTTCATACAGTAAAAGGATTAGGGTTCAATGTATAGGGTACATAAGCTACAGCATGGTCTTTGTGGACTGTCATTTTGTGAGGCCGATACCCGTAAGTCACATTTTTCTCAGTTAAGGAAGTAAGTCCATCCACTATGAAAAATTATGAATCAGCTCAATTATTCGGCATAAAAATAGTTATTTCTAAGCATATGGTATGGACGGCTGAAAGCTTTAATTTTTCTGACAAATTAACATTTGACTAATTATTGATAACTCAACGTGTTTACTTTCGATTTTACGCAAAAAACAGAAAATGAAGCGGAGAAAAAACCAATAAATACTAAAGTCGAAATATTGATTGACAATGTCAACCCATCGAGATCGTTGCTCTGCGAAGCAGAGCAACGATCGACGATGCGTTAACGGGTGATACTCGTAAAATATTTGTTCCATATATATTCAGGACCGTCGACGAGTCTAACTTGGCGCACGTCTTGCTAGGTTGTAAACCTACAAATGATGAAAAGCATTTGTAAAACGGCAGTATAAAACGACTGTTATCGTTTAACGACATGACGGCTGTTAAAAACATGACGGCTGTTAAAAAACCAAAAATGTATGTGGAAAGGGTTTTAACGGGTGATACTCGTAAAATATTTGTTCTGTCGACGAGTCCAACTCGGCGCGCGTCCTGGTAGGTTGTAAACCTACAAAAAGGGTTGTAAGTTCCTTCATTAAAATGGCTATTGGCTGACTGTTCATAATAGGTTCCGACTGTTTTATTTGTGCGCTCTATTATAAGGTTGTTCCGGAGCTGTTGAAAATTGTTATACGTTCAACGTTGTAGACTTGATTGACAATGTCAACCTTTTTAATTGACGATATCAATTCATGACAGCTCGGCGCGGCACAGTATTGCATCTCGTCGCTGTGAGAAGCCTTATTGAGTGCGCGGCGCGGCACAGTAACGCATCGCGCTACAATCAACCCTTCCAGTTCGTTGCTCTGCAAATTAACAGAGCAACGATTTAAGTAAGAATGATAGTTTGAGCGGTGCGTCGAAGCAGCGAAGTCCTCCAAGTTGTAGACCTGCCGCGCAGGATGATGGTTAATCACTCTACACTTGACTGTCACGTGACTTTTTAACTCGTTTTCTAGCTGGTCCTGAACGACTATTCGAAACCCTAATACCCTTAAATCTGATCCCAACCATAACCCTTACCAAATCCTTAACAAAAGCATTTGCTGAAACCCGTGTAACGAGATGCATTACTGTGCGTACGTAACGCGAAATTAAGTTGTATCACACTCCCGGTTTTGGACCCCAATGTTAACCTTGCAGCAACTGTGTCAGCCCAATATACTCTAGAAGTATGATCACACTTATTTTAATGAACAAAAGACCCATAATTAATATAATCAGATACTCGTCAACAGCAGCAGTTTCCTTACGTGTGATGTGTTGTCCTTCTCCTTTCTGTGTCCCCGTCGTTTTGTTTTGTGAAATGTATTGTAGTAGTGTTTTAATATTTAAATCGAACGCAACTCAATAGTTAATAATAACAAACACAAATACTATTTTAAATAATTGATTAATATCGATTTATATACGAACCAAACATTAATTAATCTTTAATAACCTTTTATATATGTGTTAAACGATCCAGGGCATATCTAAAATTCGATAATGAACTTCTTATATTATTAGTGCCGCGTGCTGATAAATATTCTGGGAATCAATCCACCCAATCGTGGCGATAACGTATTTTTGTGCTTGGCCGGTTTTAGGTTTGAGTTTGTGCTCCAAAAGTGGTAAATCGGGTGCTAGTAAAGCTCTTGCAGGCAACTGGCTCCTTTTGCCAACTGCTTTTGGTTTAAGCGCTGACTCACATTTGGAACTGGCACTGGTATAATTGTAATATCCTACGAAGTCAGCATGCTATATTATTTTGCAAAACTCGTTTAATATCTTGACAATATTTAAAGTTTATGGTTTTAGGTTTAGGCGCGGCGCACGCACCGCTTATATGTTATAGCTCATTCAGCTTCTGTTTTCAGCGCTGTGTTGCTACACACTGTAGAGCATGTGGGTCAAGCGCGGTGCCGCGCCTAAACAGCAAAAGAGTTATTTATTTTAAAATTTATTTTTGTATCTCAAAAATGATGTAAAGTTTTTAATATGACGAAGAATTAAAACTATTTCCGTACAGCCTAAGTGCTAAGCATGCTCGTTAGAAAAACTATGAACAATGAACATAACATGCTAGCTTTCTTTATTTTGTAAGTCGCGTCCGCTGACATCTTGGGTTGTACTGGATGTAACAAGTTTATTATCGGATGTCTACTTATATTTATTATGATATCATTATTCATTGTAATGGCAATAAAATTTAAATTTTGTTTTACTTTAAAATTTTGTTTTACTTTGTGCCGCGCCGCGCACTCAATTATGCTTCTCGCAATCACTTCGCTAGATCGGTGAAATGTGCTACTGGGCCTCGCCACGCTGCGAAGAATTGACATCGCCAATTAACTGTTAACGGGTGATACTCGTAAAATATTTGTCCCAACTCGGCGCGCGTCCTGGTAGGTTATAATGTATAAACCTACAAATTAACTGAAACCCAAACTCTAACGAGAAATTAGACTAACTTCCTTTGTATCACGTTGTGACACCCACGGTCATTTCACTAGGTGAATCGTCCTGACGATACAGGGGGAGCTGCGCACTCGTGCGCGACGGGTCATACAACGTATGACAAAACTTCCTTATATGGTCATATCACGTGATCGAGACAGTTTTCGCCAATATCTCGTCAGGGGAGCATTTTAACTTTATGTCAAGGTACGTGCAAGGGGGAGATCCGGAACCAGCGTCCGAAAATACATCGATTGAAGTTGGTTTCAACTTTCGTATGTCGGGGGTCTTTTCAGAAAAATCTTAACGGGCGATACTCGTAAAATTATATTTGTTTCAAATATCTCGTTGCCAGGACCGTCGACAAGTCCGTTTGCCGTTGGCGCGCGTCCTGGTAGGTTAAGAACCTACAAGAAAAATCTTGAAGATATACTGTAGATTGTCATGTAGCGCGATGCACTCCTGGACCGTGCATATTCTCGCAACCACGTATGCAGATCGGCGAGATGCGAAGGATTGCGACATTGTGAATCAATTCAATATCATAACTAAGTATAAAAAGCAAAATATTAATACACTTCGTTTATTTTATAAAAACGCCACATCAGGTTCCAAAATATAAATCGGATGTATATACATAAATTGGATGTAATAACATTGTTACTCACCGTGCGTCCTTCACATATTTTCAATTTTCATCGCGCGGCGTAACCACTGCTCGGCGTATCACCGCACCTACCACGTTGCTGTTACTTAGGGGTCGTTTTTGATTGACGATGTCAACCCATCGAAATCGTTGTTGATTGACGATGTCAACCCTTCCAGATCGATGCTCTGTTAAAAGCAACTAAATGATCTAATCAGCTTCGATGCGGGGGGGTTGGGTCTAGATTACGGTTGATTACGGAAGGGGGGTAAAAATTGCTAAAATATTGATTACGTAATAAGTGAACGACCCCTAAGGAAGTTGGTATAATTCCTCGTTCTGTTTGGGGTTTTAGGATTATATGCTTTTGTTAGGGGTTGGGTTAGGGTTAGGGTTGGGTTCAGATTAGAGGGTTAGGGCTTCGAAGTTTTTCAGGGCCAGCTAAAGAACGGGTTGAAAAAGTCACGTGACAGTCGAGTGTAGAGTGATTAATCATCATCCCAAATTTAGCTGATAATTCCGAATTAGTCCATTTAAACTGGTTACGAATCAAACAATTATTTGAAAAGTGTATCGAATAGGATAAGAATTAACGTTATTTACACATTAATTGATGCGAAGACAAATTAGCGGAAGTTTAAGGGTATTGCTGGCAACCAAAACTTCTGGGCAAATAACAAGATCTCACAAAAGCAATATCTGCTGTATCTCACCAAACTATTCAAGAGTCAGAACATCAGTTTGAAATCCTTAAAATATATATCACACGATGAATACTAAATTCTAAATACACGCTGATTTAAATTTTAGGTTTATGCTTTCAAATATAAAGAAATTATCCATATATATATATGGTGGTTTCGTTGAAAACTAAATAGTCTGATTAAACAAAAACATTCCACTTCTAATGATGTGGAAGAATATGCTTGAATACTGGCGGGGAGGCGAAGAATGTTTTCTTGGATCAAAAATAAGGTCCACCTTCCTATCAGTTGCAGTCAAGTTCAAAGAGAGAATAACACGTTATGTTAAAAAGGATTTAGATTTTAAAAAGATCCAACGAACGAAAAATCATCCGCACCAAATAACAATACAGTCTGTGTTGATGAACAGTCCTCGACAATCACCGAATTGATTGACGAAATTCTAATAAAATTGTAAATTAGATAGTTATTAAATTAATTAGTCTGTTTTGTTACGGCATGTCGAGCATCTCCCAGTTCAGCTATCCCCGCTTTCTCCGTCCTCTTCTGCAGAATTTTACAGTTATTTTAGTAATTTTAGTTATTTTAGTAATTTTACAGTGAGCCAATTGTTATTTTGTTAAACATCTCTCTCATATTTTAAAATCTGTTAACATCCCAACCATTGATCAAGTCTTTTGTTGTGGTAATTGGCGATTATTTTTTCTATTTCAGTTCGGTAGCAGAGAAGAATAGTGCCAGTGGGTACAAAATATGGTTATCAAGTGAGTGAGCTGGTTTTGAGTATTGAAAATGGAACACTCTAAATTTAGGGTTAGATAGTTCTGCCCACTCCAAAAAATACCATTTCCATTTATTGGCGCCGACCCTCTCTTGGCTTACTATAATGAGATCCGCCAACCATAAATGGAGACGTCTAGCAATACAAACAGTGTTGTAATGCCAATACGGCCTACCAACAGTTGCACACACTACACTTTTTTACACTATTTTACACTACATTTTTGCCTTTTTTGTGTATGGTGTAGTAAAAAGTGTAGTAAAAAAGGTACAATTTTTTACACTTTTAATTACACTTAACAAAATTATCTTCTAAAAATCTTCTTTTTTCCTATTATTTTCCTATCAGTCTTCACATAGTACATTTCTTAAGGTAAAACATAACTTTGGTGAGAAAAAAATGTCACTTTTTCACTACACTTTTGCCTTTTTTAATGAACGGTGTAAAAAATTGTACCCCCTAGAGTCTTAAATGCCTTTGCTTTATATAGTTTATTATAGTGTCCTCTAAAACCCTGTCGACTGTAAAGAGTTCGACTGATTGTGACTCAGTACTTAGCTAAATGTTCAAAGTAGCCACTAGCCACATACTTTGGAAAAGACATTTAGATTTTATTTATTGATTAAGTTGTATGATCTGTTCTGCTTCATTAGAAAGTAATAAGAAGCCAAAAACAGTCTCCAGCTAGCGAAAATATACTTAATTTGTCTCAGTATTTCCTATTAGGGTGGATGAGTATTACGCTATTTCTAGTTAAGAGAAGGTTTAGACATTTTGTTTGGAATGTACCTGTCTTCCAGGTCAAACAACTCTCGTAGTACTTGATAACCACTTGAGGGCACTTTACGTTAGCTTCCTTAGCTGGAACCCAGTCGAGAATGTCTGCTCCTTTCCTGTGATGTGTTCTCTGTTATAAGTAGTTAATAATGTCCCAATTTCACTAATAATCACTCATCGTAACTTATTTCCCGCTTAGTCAAGTGCGCGCGCAAACAATGCGCGTCATTTCTGGACTGACACGAAATTTTCTGTATAAAGTTAACTCAAAATTTGCCAGTAAATATACGAGTATTAGCACAAATGGCGTGGCTCAGCTATGTCACCGAAATCGCAAAGAAACAGAGGAAAATGTTTGATTTAACTGAAGGGATATACTACATCATTTCCTAATGCAATCTTGCAAGATTATAATCAGAAGTAAAGAAGACTAACCACTTAATGTTGAACATTATTTGACTGTCAAGATCAGTGGCTCCAATGATCTCCTCGGCTTCGTACCCTCGCTCAAAACCAATGGGTTCGTTGGAAGCATCGTAACCATTGTTCTGTTTTTTGTGTGTTCTCTTCTTTTTGGGAGGTGAGCTGGCAGCTGATGCTCCTTTACTGCTGTGTACCTGAATAATACAGGGATGGGTTAATTGAAAATGGGCGAGCGTACCAAGTGAAAATGGGCGAGCGTACCAAGTGTCATTTTAATAAGAAGTTTTAGTCAGTGATTTATTATTGAAGCTTGTAATTACAATATCTAATGCTCCTATAAATACTTTAATTAATTGTTTGTTCCGTTATTCTTTTTCCTTCCTCTTTTTCTTGTCATCCCCTTTAGTTTTAAGATTCTTGCTAAAAATGGCTACAGCTAACACTATTAATGCTAAGTACCAAACAACAAGTGGGAGGTGGATCGTTGGTATACCATTAAATCGATTTAACACCGCAATTCCAGTCGCAAGCCTGGGACCACTACTAGCATAGTCACAACATCTACAAAGCTGCCATATAGCCTGACTGACAATTTTCTCGACTGACTGACAATGTTTCTTCTTTTTCCCCATTTAGAATACAAAGATTAGTACATTTTAGCTTATGATTAATATTATATTTTTACCTATAGTTTACCTAGATTACAACGTATTCTTATAATCTCTTGACGTATGTACAGAGAGAGAGACCATTATAAATGATTTTGTGAGCAGACCAATGACAAAACCCCAATACAGCTACAAACCCTCCCCCCCCCCCAGCTATCATGGGTGGGAGACAGAGGCGGATCGTTGGAGCTGGCTGGCAGTTTTGTTGGGGGTCCAATCGATGGACTGGGGGGGAGGGGGCTTGGGAGCCGGCTCAAGCTGATTCCTCCAAACTACCGATTACATTACACGCAGGGCCTTGTAAATGTAATGTGTAACACTTTACAGGCGACAGCAAACAAAAACAAAAACTTATAACATGGGTGAAACAGGACATCACACGTGTACGATCTCAGCCGCGCAGTATCATAGCAGTCAATAGTTCAAAGGGTCCTGAACCCCCAAATCGAGGCAAATCATAATAGATTACCTGTAGTGGGATGCGCACGATGTGCTTTGTAACGTTTACAATTAACTATGTGTTAAAACTGCGCGGCTGAGTAGTCCAGAGGTAGGATTGGACTCCCTACAACACAAAATTTCACGAAGATCATGCGTGCGCTTACATTAAAACGTATGATAGTAAACGAAGACCTTTATATTGCGATTTGTTATTTCCTAACACTATCACTAATTACTATTTCTATTTTAAGCACCAGCCACCAGATAATAATTTAAAGGCGTCCACGGACGCCTGGACGCCCTCAATAGCCGCCTCTGGTGGGAGAGGTTTAAATTACGAATAATGAGCGTAGCAGCAGATCTACATCTGCAACACTTGCTCTAGCCTACAAGTAAAACACGTACCTTCTCAAACTCAGATATCAGCTCATCACAATCTAAATTGGTTACTGGCTCCCAGGTGTTGTCTGACTCAGGGTAATTCTGAAATTATTGCTTTTCAGTTTTCTATTATCAGTTCAAGTAACTAAGTTGTAGTATAAAGTAGTAGTAACTAGCGAGAACAAGCTTCACAGAGAATGAATAACAATTAAACTATTTAACAAACTTCTCCTATTGAATTTTGAGCAGAGGAATCGTTCGGACCTAACATATTTGATAAATTTAAAAATAAAATATAAATTTGAGCTGTCTGTTTATCAGGTGACAGTTGATTTGCAAACAGATCGGTGAGGGATACAGTACATACTGGTGAATATTTTATGTTGTGATAAGAGGTCACAATTAACATTCAATTAAAATGAATATCTCGCACTAGTTAGTATACTAACTAGTAGTACGTACCCACTACCCTGTTACCATGGAAACAATAGTAGTACGTACCCTGTTACCATGGTAACAATAGTATTACGTACCCTGTTACCATGGTAACAATAGTAGTACGTACCCTGTTACCATGGAAACAATAGTAGTACGTACCCTGTTACCATGGTAACAATAGTATTACGTACCCTGTTACCATGGTAACAATAGTAGTACGTACCCTGTTACCATGGTAACAATAGTAGTACGTACCCTGTTACCATGGTAACAATAGTAGTACGTACCCTGTTACCATGGTAACAATAGTAGTACGTACCCTGTTACCATGGTAACAATAGTAGTACGTACCCTGTTACCATGGTAACAATAGTAGTACGTACCCTGTTACCATGGTAACAATAGTAGTACGTACCCTGTTACCATGGTAGCAATAGTAGTACGTACCCTGTTACCATGGTAGCAATAGTAGTACGTACCCTGTTACCATGGTAGCAATAGTAGTACGTACCCTGTTACCATGGTAACAATAATAGTACGTACCCTGTTACCATGGTAACAATAGTAGTACGTACCCTCCATTTGAGATAGTAGAGCACTGTTCCGTCTTCTAAAACCCTCTTATCCAGAATCTTCTCCACAACATAAACCTCCTCCTCTTCCTCTACTCTGTCCCTCTTCTTGGACTTCTTCTTTTCAGTGGCGGGTTTTGAAGAGCTGCTTGCTGTTCCTGGCTTACCCATCCTAATACAGTTAGTTTTAGTGTATAGTGTTAGTGTATTATAGTATACATAGTGTATTACAGTGTATAGTGTATTATAGTGTTAGTGTATAGTGTTAGTGTTTAGTATATAGTGTATTATAGTGTATAGTGTATTATAGTGTATAGTGTATTTTAGTGTATTATAGTGTTAGTGTATAGTGTTAGTGTTTAGTACATAGTGTATTATAGTGTATAGTGTGTTATAGTGTATACTGCATAGTGTATCTGTGTAGTATAGTGTATCTGTGTATTATAGTGTATAGTGTATTATAGAGGTTATTCAGACTAAGAAGAATAACAAATGATTTGAAAATTTAGTACTTTTGACTTTTGTGTTTGTACTTATCAGTACTGCAGTTTCACATATTTATATAGATCATGCTTGCTACTTTTTACAAAAAGTTTTATGATAGTAAAAGTTAATAAAATATCTCCTTAATAATTGCTTTAATATACAACTGATTGGTATAGATCAGATTGTCTCAAATTCTTAGCTTTTAAAACATTTTTATTGCGACTGACTGCATTATTTTGTTGTTGAAGAGAGGCTGGACCTGGATAGCCCACGAGAGGATAGCATGAGAATGCTCTGCCTGCCTCTGGAGTATGGCAACCTGAAGAAGGGGTTATCTATGTGGAGATGGAGTGATAATGTGAAATGAAAGGGAATGAGTGATGACCAGAGATAATGAATAGAGGCAACAAGGTCACTCCTGTCTGATCCAGTTCCTCTGGAACAATAAGGCGTTTAGTGGAAGTTGACAATAGTGGAGATATGTTTGTTGTCAAAGATGTCGTTGATGGAGAGGTAATAATCCTGAAAGTATTGCCCTCTAAGTTGTGCAATAGCTGGGCACTGTCCGAGAAAATGCGGAACAGTCTCATCTTCATTGTCACACATAGGACACGCAGTGGTGCTTGATTTGCAAATGGTATGGAGCTGTTTGTTCAGACCAAATGTACCGTGATAAGGTGCACTGCAGTTCTGTACTTTTGTCTATTGTGTTTGAATGTAGTGTTGGGGGGGGGGGGGGTCGATCATGTTTTTAGTCCATACGATGTCCATCCTCAGAAAATAGGGTACCGCAATACCGCAGGGACAAAAATGGACATAAATGGACAAAAATTGTAACTTTTGATTTGGATTGTCTCTACAATTTGTAACAAACTGCCCGAAGAAATGGTTAGCGACTAATCACGATCAATGACCATGGCCCTTTTTAGGGTACACTTTGGTCATTTTTTTCAATATTTAAATCCTCATTTAGGTACAGTTAATAGTCTGTATTTCTATAGTGACTCTCAAAGAGAGCAACCTTTGAGCAAAAGTAAGTAACCTAAGTTTTACTAAGATGTCATTTCGAGACCAGCTAGAGCTACCTGTAATCTGTATTTTGCTCTGAGATCCGACCTGTAACATAAGTAGGTCGTAGATCGGATTTTCGGTACATAACATTTTGAAGTATCTAAATAGTCTCTACAATTTTCTTAGGGCGGAAAACACAAAAAAATCAAGAAAATTATGAACTGCGTCAAACCAATACCGTTTTTCGGCCATATTTCCGAAAATAATTATTTAATATTTGCATTTCTAATTGCCTAGAGGCAGTCCAGGTTCTGTTTACAGTTCTCACAAGGGGATTGCACAAACCGAGACCCCTGTGTGCATCGGCCCATTCAGGTGATGCACACAGGTAACGGAAATGGTCCATTGCTACCAATACTATTAGAAATCTCCATCTATGCTTTCTAGGGGTGTCTTGCATGCAAGGAATTATCAATTCAGATGAAGTTAGAATAGGGGGGGGGGGGGGGGGGCCAACGCCCCAAAAGGCCCCAAAAGGCCCCAAAAGGCCCCGATTTCTAGGGCCCTTTTTGGATTTTCGATGCGTCTAGGGCCTTTTGGGGCCCTAGAATTAACTTCAATTTCATCAAGTTTGATATATGCTAAGTGCTTTAATGATATTATCTGACTACTTGCATAGTACTTTTATGTTTATTTGAGTGTATTTACATGGAGATTATGGTCCATAAACACTATCAAATAGTGGTCAGGGTCAAAAGGCCCCAAAAGGCTCCAAAAAGCCCCGATTTCTAGGGCCTTTTTGGATTATCGATATGTGTAGGGCCTTTTGGGGCCCTAGAATTAACTTCAATTTCATCAAGTTTGATATATGCTAAGTGCTTTAATGATATTATCTGACTACTTGCACAGTACTTTTATGTTTATTTGAGTGTATTTACATGGAGATTATGGTCCATAAACACTATCAAATAGTGGTCAGGGTCAAAAGGCCCCAAAAGGCTCCAAAAAGCCCCGATTTCTAGGGCCTTTTTGGATTTTCGATATGTGTATGGCCTTTTGGGGCCCTAGAATTAACTTCAATTTCATCAAGTTTGATATATGCTAAGTGCTTTAATGATATTATCTGACTACTTGCACAGTACTTTTATGTTTATTTGAGTGTATTTACATGGAGATTATGGTCCATAAACACTATCAAATAGTGGTCAGGGTCAAAAGGCCCCAAAAGGCCCCGATTTCTAGGGCCCTTTTAGGATTTTCGATGCGTCTAGGGCCTTTTAGGGCGTTGCCCCCCCCCCCCTAGAATAGATACACATCTCAATCTGATACTCTGAAATGCATGCAAGATGAATCCATGATATCCCTACTACTTTTATAAAGTTTTACTTTGAAATTTTGACAAAAGGGCCGCCCTAAATGTTTGAGAACTAAGATATTTTAATAATATATATCAATATAAACGTGCCAGCAATGAACTCTACATAACAGTAAACAGGTATCTTTTTACATAAACAGAAACTGTCAGAAACAACGGTAGCGCTACAAATGTAACACTCAATCGGCAAATGGGAACACAAGGCTAACAAAGTAAGAGCGCTCGATTTTTCTTGACATTTTTAAGAGCATTGCGCGGCGCCACTAGCAGCGAAATGACATAAAATTCAATTCTATAAATAATTTTAACCTGTGACCTGAAACCTTTTTGTTTCAAAAGTGATTAATTGTCACAAAGAGTTTACTTTGTAAACCTTTAAAAATGCACGACAATATTTATTATACAATTCACAATTGATATGATCAATGATAGAACAAACGATAAAAGCTAAAAACGCTGCATATTGTATATTAAATTTATAATTGTTTTGCCAGTTAAATTTTCAAACGTGCTATACGAAAATATAAATATTATTTTCAAAAATATAAATATTATTTTAAATTTTGTTTTACTTAAATTTTGTTTTACTCTATTGAAACATTCAAAATTGCTTTTTTAATTTGCACCAGGCAATTAAAATCGATCATTTTCAATTACAAATTAGATTTGATTCACGATGTCAATCCTTCGCAGCTCGGTGAGGCACAGTGGTGCATTTCGCCGATCTAGTTGTGAGAAGAATTATTTGATGCGCGGCGCGACCCAGTAGTGCATCGCGCTACAAAAATTAGATAATAGATGTATTTTAAACGTTGACTTCAAATCATTCCAAACTATATAATTTGGGTGTTGGAGCTACCAAGACGCGCGATGGTCGTGGTCTAATATTTGAAACTAATATTTATTACAAATATCACTCGTCAAGAGGTTGTTCACATATTGTATTACATTATAAATTTTTGGACAATTTTTACCCCCTCCGTGATCAATGTTACTCGGCTGATTACGACGGCACGTAATACTATATATATACGTAAATAAAAACGACCCCTAAATAGCTCTGCTACGATCTCGTCAGAACGTTTTACTTATTTGTACTTACTTACCTGGGGACTCCAGGCTATTATGTTCATAAACATATAAATGAATAAAGATTCGGCGGAATGACAGGCTGAGCGCCGCCCAGTAGGTACTTACTGATGGCATGTTTGTACAAAATTGCATTTTTGGGGCTCAGATTTACCTAATTTTATTTTATCGGTAGTATCACATATGTTAATGTCGACAGCTAATTGGTCTGATATATCATCAGTTAAAATTTTGCAGCTGTATACGTTATTGATAAGATTGGCACTATATGTTCCTAGTAGGCCTTCATAAAACCTGAAAATATTCGTGATTAGCAGCTATATCAACCAAATTCTGGCAGTAGACGTATTTTTCATATAATTATATTTTGATTGAAATTATCAAATATGAAGAGCAATTTTTTAAATGTCTGTTTAGTCTGTCGAGTATCCATCTGTATAGCTGATTCAAACTGTCAAGCTTCCTTGACAGGGATCGATAGACGTTTCTTATTATATCATTACAGGTTTTTTGGTGACCTTACATTCCTATAGATTAATAAGCTGAAATTTGGCACTTGAATTTGGGTTTGGGGTTCGGGATGTTTGAATGTTGACTAAGTCACATATAATAAGTAACTTGCGACTTTTCCGAGACTGTTTTGACCGACACCTCAGTGAGTGAAATTTACCTTCTTACTGCTTCACTGGTGCAGACTGGGTTGTTTATTTATGTTTCATCACATTTTTACCGATTATACTACATTTCATACTCAAGCCTCAAGCAGGGATTGAGCTTAGTTAGATATAATACATCTTGTTGTTGAGGCAACCAGCCACTGCATTTAAATAATTATGGCCATTTAGGTACCTACTTTCATATGATCGGGTAATATATACATAATAAATACATTTTTTTCTTTTTCAACACTGCTAAACAGCAAACAAATGCTTGCCCACCGACAGGGGTGCAATCGTCGACTATTTGATTGGTTGAGTGGGAAGTTTGGTGAAGAATGTACGTGCTATTGTAACACGTCATTCTTTCACACCCCCCGTCGAAAAAGCAACCCCCCTGTTGACGCTTTCCTCCCCTTTTGGCGCCCCTCCCTGAAATTGAACAAATTAGTTGATTTTAGAGGATACACCGGTAAAATCTCTAAAAAAGTGTGTTTCTAGAGCAAAACGTGCAGGTTGCTAGTACCTCAGTTATGTTTTTCAAAATTGTCCCACATTCAAACAACGATTTGACGCCCCCATAAGATGGCCCCCCCCCCTCACAGCAGGGTCAGCCCTTCGTTATGCCACTGTCTGACCTTAATTTCAGAGAATTAACTTTCCTCCACCCCATAGGTGTACAAAATCTTTAAATTACTTATTTACTGTTCAGAATGAATCGTTATGATGGTCAATGATTTGGACACAAAGTTGGTTTCAAAAGAGAACAGAGGTCTTGAAAAGCTTGTTGACATAGCAAAAGATTACAGTGATGACTTCATTACCTTATCAGCTGCTCATGTCGAAGATGCCACGCATGGTAAATTACAGAACATTAATTTAAATTCTACAAAGACCACTATTAAGATTTCTGTAATCAAATCTTAAACTTATATTTGACCGCCAAAGACCAACAGATAACAGAACGGAACATGGAAAAGTCTGAAAATAAGTCTGCTAAGGCCTAAGTGTGAGGCAGACCTTATCAAAAACAACAAATTCACAAGTCTGAGACAGTAGTTAACTGTAAATGTGCATGATATTCTATGATACTGGTGGTGATTATTATTATTCTGATCGCAAATCTGCTTAAAAAATAAATATTGCTTCAGGTAGAGGGCACTACGGGAAGGCTTATGCAATGGAGAGTAACTCAAGCTCTGTACGAGTAGCTTTCAACATAACCTACAGCAAGATCTGGCGCTACTTCATTATCCTCATCATTGGAACACACTGCCTCCTTGTCTTCTATATCACCAATCAACCTCATTATCTTATTCTGGAGAGTGTTTGTGTGCTGTGTTACATTCTCGACATTTTATTACACATCATCTTCTACACTCCTCGAACATTCTTCAGCTTGTCAAAAACAGCTTTGAAATCAAAACTGCAGTTTATTCTGACAGTGTTCTTCGTTTTCGACCTTTGTTACACTTACTATTGCTACTTTTATTTATCAGTAGATCTTCTGGAGAAGGCTATCCCATTTCAGTTCCTCCGGTCATTTGTATTTATCATCAAGATTAAAACATTGTATCATTTCTTCATGGTAGTAGTTAAGACTTTTGCCAGAATTTTACGGACGATATTTGTAATTATCCTCTATGTGTTGTTTTTTTCATGCATTGCAGTTCATATATATGGCGAGATTTATGAAACCTCAGACAATGAGATATATAAAGGAGAGTTCAGCAACGCTGCATTAGCATTTATAAGAATGTTTGTCCTCATCACAACAGAAAACTATCCAGATGTAATGATGCCCGTGTATAAATATCACAATGCAACGTTTATTTATTTTGTTGTTTTCATTTACTTTGGTGTGTTCATACTGATGTCTATTCTGTTGGCCATTGTTGTCGACAACTATTGGACCATTGCTAAGATGAATGTGAAAAAGGAGAGGCTCAGAGGGAGAAAGGAACTGGCTATAGCTTGGAATTTACTGGGGGATGGTGCAGGTACAAAGGAATTTTAACTCACTTTTTTGATAAAAGTAGTGAATTAATTGTCGATAGCTTTAAAATATTAGTACCTCATAGTTATTTAATAGTTATTTAATTGTGATAATTCATATATTTGTATCTCATTTCAGACACACTGTCCGTCTATGATGAGAACTTATTGATGGTATTTCGGAAACTGAAGCCTATAAATGATGACGAGGAGATTATAATACTCCTTCAACAGCTAACTGGTGGTACCACCAAGTCAGTCTAACTTATAAAGTTTTCCTGACTTTTAAATTATATCAGTTTACGCTCTTCGTCGTAAAATGGTGTTATTAACACTTAGAATTTTTCTAAATTATGTATATTACTGATGTCCATTGTCCACGATTTGGATGATCTGCAAATGAAAAGGTTGATAATGATGACTATTGACTACACCCCTGGATGATAACGACAATAATGTTCAGGTCGATAATAGAGTACAAGTCATGGCTGACCCGCTGTATAGACACACTAGATCTAGAAGTAGAGCGAACAGAAGAGAATGAGGAGGACACCAACCTGATATCGGGACTGGTGAAGAAGAGTGGAGGAAAGTTTATGATTTACCTGACTCTAACCATCCAATCCACAGTGCTACAGCGCGCTGTTATCATCCTACTCTTTATCCACACATTCCTTATTGTGGTGTTTCAGACAGGTCAAGAGGAGCTGGGCAGGATAGTCCAGTGGCTCAGAGTGGGAATATCAGCTTTGTTCGTGGTGGAGGTGGTTGTTAGGTTCGGTGTTCTGGCCTATCTCCATTGGGAGGATTCCGGGAGGAAGAACCGGACACTGAACGACAGATTTGTGAGATGGATCAAGCGTGCATCTGTTATGAACGTTGTGGATGTTATATTTGTTGTGCTAGGAACTGTAGCTAATGCATCTTGGTTCTACATTGACACTTATTACGAAGCCCCTGAGGAGTGTAAGCTCACTGAGTACATAGCTAAAGGTCTGTGTGTAGTGTCCTCTACTGTACTCTTTATATTGAGATTATTGGTCAACTCAGAGGAAGCTATCAAGATGTTTGCTCTGCTGAAGCTCATTATTCCGGTCATGTTTGATCTTAGTGCTCTGTTCTTCATCGTTATCTACTCTTTCGCTTCCTTGGGAGAAACCATTTTTACTGACTCTGTAAAAATGAGCTATGGCACCGGTAAGTTTTGTTAGTAAATAGTGTGACTGAATTTTGCTAAATTTAATATTCAGTGGACACATAGTTCATTGTTTTCTTGAGCCACTGGCACTAATTGAATTTATTTCATAATATCCATATATTCTATCGAAACCATTTTTCAGGTTCACCCGAAAAGCTCACAACGTCAGATCAAAGCTGTACAAAATATGGGTTTGGTTCCAACTGGTGTTCCTTTGTGACCTTATTTCAAGTATCAACCACGAGCAACTGGCATGAAAAGATGCAGAGCATTTATAATTCGGACGCAAAATACGGAGGTGCTGCATACTTCATCATCACCTATATAATATTTCACATGGTTATAATCAATCTATTCGTCGCCATCTCATACGAAGCATACAACAAGTTCGTCTCTAAACCGAAACAAGCCAGGAAGAGCGGATCAGCCAGGCCCAAGAAGCTGGGTCAGCGTATCAAGCTTAGGTTCGGGAAGTTCAGAAACTTCTTCACACAGTACACAAAAGGAACCCGGAAGTCAGTTTCCTCGTCTCCCCGTCCTGCAAGAAGAGCTTCTGTCACCATTAAGCGCAGGTCTCTTCACGGTATGCGCGAGAAAATCTCAGATTCGTCTCTGGGCGAAGCTATTCTGGAAGTCCGAGAAGACGGGGTAGGTGAACTACCAAAAACTCCTGATTTATCGAGTTTACCTCGGGGGAAGAGACACGAGATGATTTTGAAACAGAGGATGCAGCAGAAAGGGGAAGCTAAGGGCCGGCAGAGAAGACAGAGAAATACCGGTGATAAAGTGGGGAGTCTTGCTGAAGTAGTGCGACAATACACCGCTAAAAGTGACGAGGAGATATCATTGGCACCCGGCCAGAAAATCAAAGTGCTTGACAAAGCTGGGACAAAGTACAAGGGATTACTTGTTGACGGGCCAAATGCTGGCAAGAATGGGTGGTTTCCAGCCTTTGCGGTGGGTTCCTTCGTATCCGAACTGAACAAAGCACAAGAAAAAAAGCCACTCCCAAAAACTGAATCACAGCCTAAGTTTGTGAGAAAGCAGAATGCAGACTGGACAAAAGATATTATCGGACCAATGACCATCATGAACCCAGAGGAACTGAAAGAACTAAACAAAATCCTCAAAGCAAACGCGAGGGGGGCACGTTCCAGTACGGACAGTCACCGAGGGAGTATTGACAGTGCGAGTACCCCAACTACTCCCAAACCTGCTTCTTCTCCTATTTCTCCCGGACCAAGAGTATCCTCTCGTAACAGTCGTGTTCCAATAATGAACATTGTAGAGGAGGAAGAGGAAGAGGAGGAGTCTGAGAATGATAATGTTTTTCTAGAAATTAACAAACTTTACAGCAAACCAATGCAGCTTCCGGAAGTGATAATCGAGCAACCCTCAATTGTGTTAGAGGAAGAAGAAGAAGAGGAACCTGACCAAAAACACTTGCACAGCCCCAAAGTGCGCACCCCGGAGATGAAAGCGAAAGAGAAATGGAAGAAGAAGATGACCAACAAAACCAAGGACATGCCAGAGTGGGCCAAGAAGTTTATGTCACAGTCTAATGCTAAAGTAACGGATGCTGCATCTATTAAGTCCCCTACAGAGTCTGATGAAATAGATCCTCTGTCCAGGTTCAGCACCACATCTGAAGTGCTGCCTATAGAACAACCAGACCTTGTTATTCAGAACACCACTGCTTCCAACCAATCCTCCCCAGAACTGGAAAAGGTTTCTGAAAATAAAGTTTCTGAAAATAAAGTATCTGAAAACAGTTCAACAATTCTCAACATTCCGGAAAGTCCAAGAACAGAACCCTCCCTCGCAGTAACTCCCTCTCCCAATGTAACTGTTGTGTTGCCCATTACAGAGGAGAGTTCTGAACCACAGGATACTGTCACACTTTCTGAGCAAGACCCCCTAAGTCCCTCAAAGCCCTCCTTAAAGTCCAGGTTCAGGAGGAACAGACCAAGAAGGATAGGGAGGTCTGGCTCGTTGCCAGGTAGTTTACCAAGTTGCGGCGAGAAGAGACAAGCTCCTGTAGTGCGATCTGAGACTGAGGTCAGGATTGTCGTTCAGCCAGCGGATTGCGAGCAAATAGTAGACTTTGAGTAGTTGATTTGATTTTGTAGTTGTAAATTGGAACTGTAAATAGTGGAATTAAGTTATTGCTATTTTCATATTAATACACACTAATTGCAGTAATTAAAGTAGTAAATTTATCTCCTATGGAAATGATGAGTAGTTGTTTTGTAGTAATTTAACATTTGACAACCGTAATCTTCTCTTTTTTACTAGTACCACTAAAATGTTGACAATGTAAAACTCTCCAGCACAGCTCTCCTTTATGTTGTTAGTAAACGATTTTACATAGAATATAACTCGATTATTAGGTTAACTTGAAGTTGCTTAATGTTGCCCTAGTAATATGTAACTAGTCACCAGAAGAGAGATTATGGTAATGCCACCTCTTGTCCACACTCCCCCCTCTATCTCTCTCTCTCACTCTCTCTCTCTCTCTCTCTCTCTCTCTCTCTCTCTCTCTCTCTCTCTCTCTCTCTCTCTCTCTCTCTCTCTCTCTCTCTCTCTCTCTCTCTCTCTCTCTCTCTCTCTCTCTCTCTCTCACTCTCACTCTCTCTCTCTCTCTCTCTCTCTCTCTCTCTCTCTCTCTCTCTCTCTCTCTCTCTCTCTCTCTCTCTCTCTCTCTCTCTCTCTCTCTCTCTCACTCTCACTCTCTCTCTCTCTCTCTCTCTCTCTCTCTCTCTCTCTCTCTCTCTCTCTCTCTCTCTCTCTCTCTCTCTCTCTCTCTCTCTCTCTCTCTCTCTCTCTCTCTCTATCCCTCTCTCTCTCTCCCTGTCTCTATCCCTCTCTCTGTCTCTCTATCTCTCTCCTTTTCTCATACCCTAACTTCTAACATAAAGTGTACTCTGTACATTTTGTACTCCGGATAGAAAACTAAATTAGTGGATCGTTATGTAGTTAGTAACCATGGCTACTTGCTACCTGTTCCCACCGTAACCATGGTAACACGCTATTGTGTTTCTTTCTGACGCAACACTCAAGAGGAGGCTAGTGTTTACTGGCTTAATGTGAAACTAACATTCTACCTCCACTACAAACTTGTGAGCTAATAGTGGTTATTTTGGTTTGTGATTCACTTATAATTGTTGGAGGAAGATAATGATCTTATCGTCTGTGATTTGTAGGTTCACAGATTAATAAAAATAATTCTTAAATATCCCGGAAATGTGGTAGAAAATAAATTGTCGTATTTGAAAACTAGGTTTTAAATGTCATGAAGCACTTGTTTCTGTAAGCGTTGAGTCAGTTGTTACGATTAATGATCATTATCATGGTAAATCGTGTGTGGAGTAAGGTTAATTATCGTTATTCTAAATATTCAATCTCAAACATGAAACACGTCTCCACTACTCGATCTATTGAAGACCAATTAACAATCTACTGGATTTTTTGGTCAATAGTCAACATATGTGAGTAGTGACCTGTGTAAGTCACAAACTTCCGAATTTAAAGATATCTAAAAGAATAATTAGATTATAAACTCACAGCTAGTGAACACAGCTATCCTCTATTCTTGTAGACTGTGAACTGAGACATGAGGTGACATTTTGCATTTGTTCTAACTTGTTCTAACTTGTTCTAACTTGTTCTGATCACCTGTTATTTCTTCAGGACCCCTTGCTTTATAGTTGATACTTCTTGAGCGCCAAATCTATTGTTTTTTATTTCCGCCCTGTTCAGATAGTAAATCTATTTATTGTCCCTGAGTTACATTGTTCTGAAGGTGGTATCGACCATTCACCAATTTCTACCACATTGTCTACCACATTGTCTACCACATTGTCTACCACATTGTCTACCACATTGTCTACCACATTGTCTACCACATTGTCTACCACATTGTCTACCACATTGTCTACCACATTGTCTACCACATTGTCTACCACATTGTCTACCACATTGTCTACCACATTGTCTACCACATTGTTTACCACATTGTCTACCACATTGTCTACCACATTGTCTACCACATTGTCTACCACATTGTCTACCACATTGTCTACCACATTGTCTACCACATTGTCCACCACATTGTCTACCACATTGTCTACCACATTGTCTATCACATTGTCTACCACATTGTCTACCACATTGTCTACCACATTGCCTACCACATTGTGAAATAATTGACTCTTTGACTGGGAAATAATTGACTCTTTGATCTCAGGTAACCAAAACAATAACACAGTAACCATGGTAACACCAAAACTGAGCAGTGAGCACCCATTGTACTGAGACTATAAACTATTATTCTATTATTCTATTATTCTATTATTCTATTATTCTATTATTGGTATTGTTTCCACTAGTCTGCACTTCATACTCGCTGTATACCTGACTTGTCCTGTAGCTGACTACCTCGGAACTGTTACAAGTGACAACAACATTATTCGATTACTTTTCAAACTAACACTGCAGTTTTCAGCCATTTTCCGTTCCACAGTTGATGGATTTTTCGATCAACTTTCGTTTGGAACACATTTTCAGCACGTCTCAGTCAGCAGTCTTTTGATTAGGGACTATGCACTGTAACCATGGTAACTTGTACGTACATCAAGGTTGTCAGTCCGTTATAGTCTAGCTAGATATACTGGATATACTGGAGATTATTCTACCAGTTGTTATTAAGCTCTAACACAGATTTAAACAATAATATTTATACACTTATTGAGAAGATGAACGAGTTTAATGGCAATGCTTGTCACTCTAACCCATGCTCGAATATCCATGGACTAATTAAACAAATGAATTGGATATCTTTTCGTGGACTTACGTTTCAAGAATCAGCAGATTCTCATTTTTCGAGCAATATGTGATCGTTAACAAGTTGCTTTTATTTGTGAGACGTGTTTTCGACAATAAGTCGACTTATAAGCAGTGTCGTTACCACTTATAAGCAGTGTCGTTACCACTTATAAGCAGTGTCGTTACCACTTATAAGCAGTGTCGTTACCACTTATAAGCAGTGTCGTTACCATTTTCTTATAAGTCTTGTTATTACAGATATTCATCATATCAAGTTTACTGCCTCTACACTTTAACACTAATCAAGGTTTGTCAAGACATTGACCCAAACTGTAACCAGATATGTAATTTACAACAAGTTCCAATCCATGATTAATATTTGCCCGGTTTTATTGCTATGACGATTACTGACGGTAAAATATTGGCCCCTAATTAATTGAAGATTGTTCACACTTTATTCGTGTGATTCACGACGTCTAACTCGAGAGTCGAGATATTATGAAATTACTGATGGTAGAAAGAATTACCATTTTAGAGGAACATGCCCGATGGAGGGTTGCTTGCGGAGGAACATGCCTGAAGGAGGGTTGCTTGCGGAGGAACATGCCGAAGGAGGGTTGCTTGCGGAGGAACATGCCTGAAGGAGGGTTGCTTGCGGAGGAACATGCCTGAAGGAGGGTTGCTTGCGGAGGAACATGCCTGAAGGAGGGTTGCTTGCGGAGGAACATGCCTGAAGGAGGGTTGCTTGCGGAGGAACATGCCTGAAGGAGGGTTGCTTGCGGAGGAACATGCCTGAAGGAGGGTTGCTTGCGGAGGAACATGCCGAAGGAGGGTTGCTTGCGGAGGAACATTCCTGAAGGAGGGTTGCTTGCGGAGGAACATGCCTGAAGGAGGGTTGCTTGCGGAGGAACATGCCTGAAGGAGGGTTGCTTGCGGAGGAACATGCCTGAAGGAGGGTTGCTTGCGGAGGAACATGCCTGAAGGAGGGTTGCTTGCGGAGGAACATGCCTGAAGGAGGGTTGCTTGCGGAGGAGCATGCCTGAAGGAGGGTTGCTTGCGGAGGAGCATACCTGAAGGAGGGTTGCTTGCGGAGGAACATGCCTGAAGGAGGGTTGCTTGCGGAGGAACATGCCTGAAGGAGGGTTGCTTGCGGAGGAACATGCCTGAAGGAGGGTTGCTTGCGGAGGAACATACCTGAAGGAGGGTTGCTTGCGGAGGAGCATGCCTGAAGGAGGGTTGCTTGCGGAGGAGCATGCCCGAAGGAGGGTTGCTTGCGGAGGAACATGCCCGAAGGAGGGTTGCTTGCGGAGGAACATGCCTGAAGGAGGGTTGCTTGCGGAGGAACATGCCTGAAGGAGGGTTGCTTGCGGAGGAACATGCCTGAAGGAGGGTTGCTTGCGGAGGAACATGCCTGAAGGAGGGTTGCTTGCGGAGGAACATGCCGAAGGAGGGTTGCTTGCGGAGGAACATACCTGAAGGAGGGTTGCTTGCGGAGGAACATGCCTGAAGGAGGGTTGCTTGCGGAGGAACATGCCCGAAGGAGGGTTGCTTGCGGAGGAACATGCCTGAAGGAGGGTTGCTTGCGGAGGAGCATGCCTGAAGGAGGGTTGCTTGCGGAGGAACATGCCTGAAGGAGGGTTGCTTGCGGAGGAACATGCCTGAAGGAGGGTTGCTTGCGGAGGAACATGCCTGAAGGAGGGTTGCTTGCGGAGGAGCATGCCCGAAGGAGGGTTGCTTGCGGAGGAACATGCCCGAAGGAGGGTTGCTTGCGGAGGAACATGCCTGAAGGAGGGTTGCTTGCGGAGGAACATGCCTGAAGGAGGGTTGCTTGCGGAGGAACATGCCTGAAGGAGGGTTGCTTGCGGAGGAACATGCTGAAGGAGGGTTGCTTGCGGAGGAACATGCCTGAAGGAGGGTTGCTTGCGGAGGAACATGCCTGAAGGAGGGTTGCTTGCGGAGGAGCATGCCTGAAGGAGGGTTGCTTGCGGAGGAACATGCCTGAAGGAGGGTTGCTTGCGGAGGAACATACCTGAAGGAGGGTTGCTTGCGGAGGAACATACCTGAAGGAGGGTTGCTTGCGGAGGAACATGCCTGAAGGAGGGTTGCTTGCGGAGGAACATGCCTGAAGGAGGGTTGCTTGCGGAGGAACATACCTGAAGGAGGGTTGCTTGCGGAGGAACATGCCTGAAGGAGGGTTGCTTGCGGAGGAACATGCCTGAAGGAGGGTTGCTTGCGGAGAAACATGCCCGATGGAGGGTTGCTTGCAGAGGAACATGCCTGAAGGAGGGTTGCTTGCGGAGGAACATTCCTGAAGGAGGGTTGCTTGCGGAGGAACATACCTGAAGGAGGGTTGCTTGCGGAGGAACATGCCTGAAGGAGGGTTGCTTGCGGAGGAACATGCCTGAAGGTTACATAAAACCAGATCACACTATTTGTAGTAAGTCAGTGTGTA